CTTTGTACAGTCTGCAGCTACAGAGATTCAGCTGTGGATAGAGCTGGGACTGAGAGGCTTTAAGGTGATGTAGCCAGAGTGGGAAGGTGGTGAATGGCCCAGCAACGTGGAAAGGGCTCCTAAACACGGGCACTTCCATGCCCTACTATTTTCTCAGTTGTAATACTAAGCAAGTCTGAACTATGTAATTAGCTGGGAATTAGGGCAAACTGCAGCTTCAAATGGAGAAGTATGGCTACAACTTTCCTCCTGCAGATAATGCTTCTAGAGGGACTTTTATAGTTATGCACAAGGTAGTGATAAGGTGTAGAGTACTTAGCTAGTTCTCAAATTGTCTGCCATAAGCACTGCCCTACATGTGCAAGAGGCAGCAGTTTCTCAGTCCTGCTAATAAAAACCATGTTATTATTAATTGATTAGGCACAGTCTTCTGAATACACACCTAAAGAATACTGGCATATAAATACTTCCTAATAGCTATATGATAGTAATAAATATCCCTTGGAATTGAAATACCATCTCAGAATGATCTGTAAATGAAACATTATGGATCTTAGGTTCCTAGTATTTTGATATTTGTCTAGCCATTACAAATGACTTCTCCAGTATCATTTGGCCAAGGTCATCTTCATGTTACAGTGGTGAGAGGTCTCGCATCTGTACTCCATAGGACTAAATAATGCTGTTAACAATACAGGCATATGAATGCTAAAGACCTCTTTTGTTCAGGATATAACATTCCCCTGCACTGAAATATTACTTAAAGCACACACTGTATCTGAGTCCTCTATTGTTTAAATGAGGCCCATGGTGCAGAGCTGGCCCTCTTCATGTAGCAGCTACCAAAACCCTCCCATAACCGCAGAAATGTTTTGCGAGACCCACCCACATCTTGTGCTGAAGAGCATTATATAAAAAGTGTTTGATCTGGCTGATGATTGCCTTGGAACCCAACATGGCTCCACACAGGAAGAGATGCCAAAGGAACGTTGTCATAGTCCCTCTGACATCAGCTGAGGCCTTACCCCTTGCTGTGTAGGTTAGCCTAAAATCCCTCCAGCATGATATCATTTGACTTAAATGGTTCTGTGATTTCTACCAGCTGAAGAGTTCTCCCAAGCTTGGCCCCCTTTATTTTACAAGGTGATTTGTGCAACTGCATTTGTTCAGAGTGAAGCAAACAATGGCTGATCACAACTGAAACTAATGAACAGAGCCCTCGAAGTTCTCTGGCACTCTGGTTTCTTTAAGTACACCTGAAGTGTGTGTGAAGATAACATGGTGATGCTCATGGTGTTCAAATTATGAACTGATGCAATTCACAGTCACTGGAACTGGGGAAGGGCTTTGATCCCAGAAAGTCTCTGACCTTGGGAATGCCACTGGCAGAGTCCTGGGAATGGTGTGACTGTAGAGTTTCCTTAACAGACCTGCTGCAGGAGTGTTATGCTATGATGATATACAATCCAGCCTCAAGATCTATCCATGACATATTCATTTTAGCAGGCAAAAACAAAAGAACAAAGCAACCAAGTCCCATGGTTAAGGGTTCAAATGGCTCTAAGGCCTGGGAGAACACTGACCGGTCCTGAGATGGAACATCCGGGTCATCAATGTATGTTAATCCATGTCCAGGTCACTGAGGGAAAATAGTTTCCTTTCTGTGAGTGTTGCTGCTGGAAGCAGGATGGTAAGCTGGTACAGTAAAGCCAATGTTTTTTGTGGAGAAACCTCTTGACAGACAACTGTTTGTTCAGCTCAGTAAATTCAAGCTGGGGCTGAGTAAAGAGGTTGCCAGATCACACAATACAACAGTTGTATGTTTCTTCTGTCTTGTACCCAAACGCTGAGTGGGAGATCAGGCAGAAGTAGAGCAGAAACCTGAGACTGTCATGCTGCTAACAGTTGTGCTGTGAGGTTGCAAAAATAACACAGCAAGATGAGGCCAAGCTCTGTCTTTGGCAATAAAAATTTGTACAGGGAAGGAGGATCCAAAATATACCTCATGTGGTTGTAGAAAAGAGCACTGAAATCACAACGAATATGTAATAGATGGGTCACAGACCATTTGATAAAGACTTTGAAAGCTGAAGACTGTTGTATTAAAAACAGTCTTTTTTGTTCCTGTCCTCCTCTCCTGCTCCATTCCCACATCCCCACCAAATAGATGGGCATTTTCAGTATCATCTTCAAGTGGTGTTTTTTTGCTCCACCACAATGGTAGAAGACTCCTGCTAAAGAAACCTCTCTGATTCTCCTGTGGCTTTTCCTCAGCTTTACTGCTCATGAAAGGCAATGACTGGAAAAGAAATTCAACATCTGCCTGTTTACATGCACTTCTTACAAACACCTCACAACCTCTTTGACATCAGAAAACTGGCCAAACACATTAATAATGGGAATTTAACAATTAAGAATGACGTTTTATCTTCAGAATTGTCCTTTAGAGAAGCTGGCAAAAGAAGGAATGACTTTAATGCAGCAAAAGCATTCCCAGAAAGGGCAGTAATTTTTAACCCCTCAATGTGAGAATCCCTACTATCTTCTGACAGTTCAGTCTTGGGTTTAGACTTCTGTATTTTTTCAAGAGCAGCAAATCATTGTCTGTAATAGACTGCTCCCTATGAACCTGACTTCTATGTTCTCTCAGAAAGCCCAGAGTACTGTGGGAGGTGTGAGCATGACTGGAGAACACAGCTGTTGGTGTGTTACCAGTTAGTCCCTCCTGAAGGGACTTCATAAGCCATAAACTGGTGATTTCTGATGGGTCCCTTGCCAAAAACTGAGATGTGACCTCCCCTTCTTTGAGTTCAAACTCCACATTGAGACATGGTCAAATTCTCCCTTCCCTTCCCTTCCCTTCCCTTCCCTTCCCAGATGGAAAACAGCCTTACCAGTTTAATGGTTTGCATTTGAATTAATATAAACTGATGTGCGTTGCTTGTAAGTGATTGGTATTAAAGCCAGACTTAAATAGGCCTGCCTCTGGAGACAGTGTAGTGTCAACACTGTAAACAAACAGTGTGCTCTCCTGGTTTAACTAAGAGGATTCAAAGTGATCCAAGTCTGCTTTGTAGAAGAAAATCTGAATTACTGAAACAACTCTAGCCTGAAAGAAGTGTGCAGTATACATGGAAAATAAGGGATCTGTTTTCATTAAAAGGCAAGTTTCTTAAAAGACTGTAACATCCTGCTGACCCCAGTGGATGCTTAAGGTTCTCTGAATACACTTATCTGTCTAGCCATGGGATGTAAATGGGTGCTGCAGTACAGTAATGAGAAAAATGAAATCTAAATGACTGAGCTTTCCCTGTGGCTTGGTCAGTCCTGGCTTCTGAGTAGACCTGAACAAGCCCTGACTGCAATTTCTGCTCCTGTAACTGTGCAGCGAGAATGGAGCTGTGAAGCGAGACACCACAGAAAATCTACAACCACCTAGCCAAGCCATTGCTATTCAGCCATTGTTTGAGCTTGAGTGTCATTAGTTAAATTGGCAGGGAAGGCCACTTTAATGCTGAAATTAATTGTTAATGCCATGTTAAGAAGACTCTCAAGGTTATAATGAAAACTCCTATGAATATGAGCTCTATGAGCTTGACTCTTATCCACACTTCAGTCTCTTCAGCACTCTGGTTTTCCACAGGGGCTCCAAGAGACACGGCATGTAGTGGAAATGTAAAAGTGTACATGACTGCAAGAGCAAGTGATGAAACAAGGCCAGTGACATTATCATTGTCATATGCAAATAGGAGTGACAGGCCAGCATTACACCAGGATTCTCATGTTCTTGCAAGGCTCCAATCTGTCAGCATGAGCTGCTGCCCTACAGGAAGGAAGATCAATTCCCTGGAAAACAACTGCTGAACCCCTACTACTTACAACTTAGAATTGCCAAAGTGAACAACTGTCTTTGCTTTCTCTAGGTTGCCAGTCTGTAACTTGAAATTGCTCAGCTGCTGTGACCATCTTGTCAAAGTTGCCCCCCAAAGTCTGTCTGCCACCCACATCCTGCTGGGTTCATGACTCATGACAGTGGAGAAGACAGCTTTGGCAGTCCTAGGTGGGTACACAGGTAGACTCCTATGGAATTAACAATGTTATGTGCTGTCCTGGAGATCAGCTGCATGTTTGATACACCCCAGATGTGGTTTGCCCTCCTGGCTGTCAGGGCACACTGCTGACTCCTGCTGAGCCTGGTGCTGACCAGCATCCTGCAGGGATAGTCCCCAGACATTCCTCTTCCCATTTATATTTGTGCCCAGCACTGCTCCACCGAAGGTGCAGAATCTATCAGTTGGATTTGTCAGATTTCATCCCATGGATCAGAGCCCAATGCTCCAATCTATACCGACCCCTCTCCAAGGCGTCTTGTCCCTCAGTAGAGTCAACAGCATCTCCTCACTTTGGTACCATCAGTAAAATTGCTAAAGGTGCATTCAATTTCTGCATCCAGATTGCTGATAAATACATTGATCAGGACTGTCCCTAGAACTGAGCCCTGGGGAACAGCCCTGTGGAACATTGCCAGCCAGATGTGGCTCCATTCACTACAACCCTCTGAGCCATGCCCTTAAGATAGTTCTTTACCCAGTGCACTGGGAACTCGCCCATCCCACAGCTATGCAACTCGACCCTGCTGTGAGGGGCAGTACGAAAAGCCTCCCTAAAATGCAAAACAACTATACCCACCACCTTCCCTCAATCCACTAGGGGGCTGTTCTTAACATACTAAGATAGCAAATTAGTTAAATGGGATTTACCTTTGTGGTTGACTGTGCTTGATGTCTGCATTATTCTTTAAATGCCTTTCAATAGTACCAGTATTAACTTTTTCATCATTTTTTCCAGCCTTCTGTGAGGGCTAATGGTATCAGTTACAAAACCTGTAACTTCTAAGTTGTGCTTCGATGCTGGTTTTTACCCTCTTCACTACAGAGGCATAATTTTCTTTGCCTCCTTTCCCACCCTCCCTCCCTACCATTCAGCACATGCCATTGAAAAGTAACTGTGCCTGTACAGCTGATTTTTACAGAAAGAAAAAGAAACGAATGTGTTGTAACACATTATAAATAATAAATGAATGTGGTGCATTTGCACAAAGGATTTTGCTCTGGTATGTGACTTTAAAAAACTTAAAAGATCATCCTACAATGTGACGTAAATGTCCCATGGAATATCTGGAGCAGGGGTGGGCACTGGGGCTCTGGTCCTAGTAGTTAAGTAGTGAGGAGACACTGCTGTGGTGCAGTGGTTTGAAGCTTGGTGTCTTTTGATGTTTAAGCTCTAAAAGTCTATTGTTACAAATCTGACAGCTCAATCAGCTGAGTTTATCTTATCCTCATTTAAAAGCTTTCCAGCCCAACTCCAGAGTATAAATAGGAAAAAGTACCAGTTGATTTGCACTTTTTTAAAGCACTGTATTTGTGAAAGGGGTATTCCACTGTCCTCGCCTGTCTTTTCGCCTCCCACACAAGTAATTATTTCAAACAAAGGAGGGGAATCCATGATTCTGTTCCCCCTCCAAACTCTGTCCCCATACAAAACAATCAAACCCCTTTGGAAGACCTCCCCATGCTCAGAGCCCACGCCCATCCCAAGAGCTGTTTTGTAGATTTTAGCAGAATGTGAGTCATTCATAGCTGATGTGCTCTTACCATGGGACTGCATTTTTGGTTTCAGCCATCAGACTGTTTTTACTGAGATGACATTTTCACACGCCTTGCCACAGATCCATGAGGTTCATGCTATGCTCCTGTACTCTCAGGATGTGTGGCACACTGAGAGGCTGAGGTAAACCAGGAGCAAGTCTGGAGGCAGCTCTCTGTCACGACTTTGGCAGGGTAAGAATCTTGTCTATCCTCATTCCAACAGCAGTCAAGGGCTTTATGGCCCTAACCAGTACAGTGGTAGACAATGTGCCTCCCAACAGTTTCAACATTGCCAGGCTTTTTCTCAGACTTCTGAAGGAGAAGAAACAAATCTGGCAGCTCATGAAGTCAGATACAGACCAGTTGCTAAGGTAACCCAGCTGATAAGAGCAGCACGCTGATAGATAACATCAGGCACAGGACTCACCTGCCTTTAGATTTCAGCATGCTGTGATTAGTGAACAAGCCTTTCAGTCCCAGACCTGGTACAGAAAAAGACACTGGGAGCTGGAAATCTCAGGGACCTGCTCAGCAATGGATTTCCCCTCACAAGAAATATCCAGAATTGTATTAATGAGTTTTAAGTGACTGAATCAAAAGTGAGGTAAATACCACCATGTCATTAGCTTAATTTGGGTGTTTCTAAGACAATCTCTATGAGATAAAGGTTAGGATGAAACCAACCCTGTTATAGATTGATAGTCCCATGACTGCCTCTTGCACCTTGGGGAAGTACCTTTTACAAGATATCAAAGCCCTAAAATGCTTGATAACAAAACCTTCGCAGTCAGAGGTTCATGGGGAGTAGAATTTCCAGTCTGCAGAAGGGCTAATGTGAGGTGCCCCTCTTGATTTAAATTGCAATTAAAAAAAAAATAAATAAAAGAAAAGAAAAGAGAAAAAAAGGTATCTATTTTCACCCCCCCAAGATATCCTTGGAGACGGTTTGTGGAGAATCAAGATCGACTACCGAAAAAAATTCAGAGCTAAAAGTAAGCCATATATAGAATTCCTGCTTGCTAGAGTCCAAGTTAGGACCTGACTAACAAAAGTGTTGTTGCTTTGAATGAGAAGTTCCAGTAAAAAAACCTCTCCATTACACTGCTCTGCTGAACTGCCCTTTTGATGTACTTTTAATATTTTTACATGCTGTTAACTAGATGACTACTGATGCCTGAATTACTTAGTTTATCCCTTGCCTGGTGTCTTTGCAGAGGATGCTAACCTGTTTCTTGGTCATTTCAACATGATGACCTCCAGTTCTCCAGACAAAGTTACACAAAAGACTTGCACATATTGTGTTGCGAAGATAGCTAACCATAATTTTCAAAATCAACTCTAGCCAATGATGAATAATATATGTGACCTTAATGACTAATATAAAGATGCTTTATGCCTCTGGCTTTGCTAGGAAAGTGTGAATTGGCCTTAGATGAAAAGATAATAAGACCTTCAACTTGAAATCCTTTGCTGTAAAAGAGAAAGTGCTTTACCAGTAAAATTAATATTATGAAAAATGGTATTACATAAAAAGGTAGGAAAGTTTAGTCACCCACTGAGTAGAGGTCATTACTTTGCCTGACAGAAAGTCCAGAGCTGTATTGATCAACCTCCTAAAAAGAGTGTATTTGTTTATAGCAGCAAGAAAAAACATTGTTTTCTTTCTCAGCACCAACTAATTGCAAGCTGCATTTAAAAACACACTCAATCTACAAGTAAACAGATTCATGAGGCTGTGAGGTGTCTTAAGTCCAAGGAAAATTCTTTCTACAACATAAAACATCTGAGCTGGGAACAGAAGACGTTCTGGAGCACAGCCTAAAGTTTTAGTGAGCAGCCTACCAGGTTTCCCTAGTAGCTCCTCATCACTCTCTCTCCTGAAAATCACCTGCATGCAAGTGGTTAAGCCATAGAAAATCAAGGCTTTTCTCACCAGTGTAAACAGTTGAGTACTTAGCTCTGGCACTGGACTATTGATAAAACTTTTCATTGCCCAACCCATCAGTCATTCTCATCAAGAAAATGGAATTAATGCCAGTGATTTCTAAAAAGTCCCTTTAAAGAACAGATCTTTATATATTTATACATTGATGTACATTTGCAGCTTAAGAGCCACGTCTCACACCTTTCATGGTCTCTCTCACACTGAAATGGTGAGCATGGTTGGTCAAGCACTTCCATGCTAAACTATGGCAGTAAAGGTAAGGACACTGAGATGAAAAATACATTTATGATGACAAAAAAGAAGTGAAATCACTTATTGGCAAGAGCTGTGAGATGGGTGGAAAGCAGACAGAAAGGTACTTTCTTTCTAGAAGCCTAAGTATGCTGCCATTGAATTCAACAGCTCCAGTGAAGTTGACTTCAGGCACGAGGCACTGACTGTCTAAATGCTTGGTAGTAATCTAGTTTTTATCACCTTTAAATTAGTTGTGAACTCCTTAGAGGGTGTCTCTACAGTTCAGAGGCCATTACAATCCAACCAGAGGCATATGAGATTTTACAATTAAAGGACTCGGGCACTGATGGAAGTATGCTGGCCAATTTATCAGCAGAAATCTAATCAATCTAACCATGAGCTCTGTAATTCCCCAACCCTGGGCCATAAAACACTGCCCTCATCTGAACCAAATGCTTGAACACGCTCCAGGTTTTCCTGGCATGAAATATTTCACCAGCTATTTCAGGTATGCCACTCTTGCTTGTGGGTCTCAGTGAAGCCATGGGCCTGCAAGAGAAAGCACCTAAGTCTGCAGGTATAGCCTTTGGATAACATTTTTAATGGCTATACATACTTGCTAAGCAACTGTGTGAGGCCCAGATTTCCAAGGGCTTGGGCTCTGTATGCCCTGCAAACAACATAGGGATGGAAAAGACATGAGGATTACTGGGTCTAGTATCACTGGACCCATTGCACAATGTGCAGAAACCAAAGATTCCCAACTATGTAAGAAAACTCCTGAGTTTAAAGTAAAAGAATTACACCACCACATACTCTCTGTACTTTTTCTTACATTTACCTCAGACTAGAGTTATTCTTAAAGAATGCTTTCTTCTGGAAAATAAAAGAGATCTTGATCTCCCAACAACACTTTGTGGGAAGGACATCTCCAGTGATGCAACCAGTAGGCTATTTTCTCTGCCATAACTTTAAGTAAATTTATTAACTTGCTGGGAATTTGGTGGGTAATAAAAGTCAAAAGGAGAGAGACAAATGTCAGCCAGACAAAACTGCCAAAGGATTAATTTCTGTAACTCATCTTTCTGTTAGTGAAAGGATCATGGTCCTTGCTGTGCTTGATCTTGACTAGATAGTAAGATATGTATTTTTGGAATTTGAAGTGGTAAATCTCAAGAAAATAGAAAATCTTCCTCATTAAAGCTGAGTCAGCATCACATCTGTAACACACTTAAGGCATATAAGGACAAAAAAGAACAAGGTGTTTGTAGCTCTGTGGACATCTGTAATACCCCACAGGAGCTGGGGATCACATTAGGTCACTGCTGACACAACTGCATGGAATCTTTCTGGGTGTGGTGTGTATTTACATCTCTCAAAAGAAATTGGTTACTGGGGCATCCAGTGTATTTCTGAAGTGGTTGGATTCCCCTTCCCCCTCTCCTTATTTACAATTCCCTTTGGAGTACAAGAAACATTTTCTGTAACCTCAGCCTCCTCATTCAGCTGTTGTGATGTCAGTTATTTACAATAACAAAAGTGAGACAATGCCTGTGGTTTGTGTGGGACAAAGCCAACCTTGTTCCTGTAAAAAGGGACAATCCTGATGTGAGAAGCCCAGGAAAGGCTATGAAGTAGGACTCCAAGGCGGTATTTCATCAGTCCTGCCAGCTTCATAATGGGCTTGACACTGCATTATTTCAAAGGCCACTGACAGAGGGTTTCTTCCTTTCCACAGGATTGGACACTAATGTGACTAGAACTCTTAGAAAACTCTCTCTTTGCAGAACAAGGCTTCAGAGATAGATATCTTGGGAAATGAATGGATTCCTAGTGGGTGGACAGGCAGCAAATGTCAGGATGCAAATGTTTCAATACCAGTTACATCTTCTGTGGTCACAGGCAAGTCATTCTGAACCTCTGCTTACCTGTCATGAAAGTTGTTTATTAATATTGCACTGCGTAAGCTACAGATGTAGTGAAACTTGCAGAATGCCAGTAAACTCTTGATGTCACAGAGTAGCAAAAGGAAAGAAGAAACTCTTAAAACAAAGCATGGTTAGTTATGAATGAAGAGCATCAACTTTGGTGTAGCCTAGAGAATGTCCCTTACCTGCTATCCTGCCGATTGGCATCGCGTGGTCCTCGGGAGGGGAGACAGACACCATGATGTGGTTCATATAAGCTAACTCTTCTCGGTGGGACAGGTTGATGGGCTTGACCTCCCTGTGCAGCCCATCCTCAGACAACCTCGGTGGTTTGAAATCGGAGTGCCTGGGGTTCAGTATCAAAGGATGCATGATAGGGCTGGGCATCAGCTGGATGACCCTGGTGTTCTCCTGCCGAGGGCTGCAGGGCTTCTGGAGCACCTCGGAAGGAGGCGGGCAGTGGTTATTTTCTATCGGGGACACTGAGAGAGGATAGGGCTCCTGCTGGTTGTTCTCATGCTGGTGCCTCGTCCCTGGCACCCTGTCGGCCGGGGACAGGCGACGGAAGGTGCTGTCCATGGGGGACTTCAGTGGCCGCTGGTCGGGGTCTGGTGATGGACGGTGGTTGTTGGTGATGGGTGACCGTGAGCGATGCAACAGTTCAATGGTTGGGGGGTTGTGGTGGACTGCTTCTGCAGATGGCCTCGAAGGTCTCTGCACAAAGCTATCTGTGGAGAAAGAAAAATACAGACTGTCTATATTGTGATCAAGGTATAGGATCTATTGCTGACAGCTTGCAAATATTTTTTATTTGTGTACCCTATAGATGCCCAGAAAAGTATTGCATAAATGCAGATAGTTATTATTTCTACACAAAATTAAAACAGTGAAAACAATCTCCCTCCACCACCATGTAACCACAGTTCCTTGGGAAACACACTAAGAGAAATGCCATTTTGAGAAGCTGACAGAACACTTGTGAAGACAGTAAGATCTGATTTAACTGTACTAACTGTGTTTCTGTGCAATTTTTTTGAAACTTATCTCTTGCCATTCATGTCTCTCCATATCATTCCTCTTACTACCATGATGAGCACTGTAAGGTAGAAGGGAAAGAAAATAGGGGAAATGTCTCCAGGAAAATACTGGGTATTAAGTTTTAGATGGTAGAGGCTAAGGTCAAGGTAGAGAATAACTCAGTCTGAAATATGAACTGGGTTGTTTAAAAACTCTCCTGGTAGGAAGCTCTTTATGGAACTCTACATTATACCCCTGCCTTGATTTTATTAGGATGTTACATCTTCATAAGGATATTTTCATCTTTTTTTATTTAGTCCATGGTGTCTGCTGATGGATTGTCCCATATAAGCTCTTATATGTCTTCAGCAGGAGGACTTCTAGCACCACTTTTGCATGAACACACTTTCCCAGCTGTGATGCTTAACAGTAGTAAGGAGATAAACCACTAACAATCCTCACACAAAATTAAAATTTTTGCCAGTGCAAACTTTCAGGTTAGCTAAGGCCATCAATTTTGACTTGGGAAACTACTGACAAAGAGGAAAGTACCACCAGAGCTACAGTGACTAACAGGTTTTTATCAGAAAAACAAAGATCAAATTTCAGTGCTGTTTGTTGAAAGGCTTGGGTGATGACAGAAGGAAACTTCTGGGTACGTGTCAACAACTGAAACAAGTAGCTGCGTATTTGAGGTTGCCTCTTTGTTCAATCCATTTTCTCTGAACACTAAATGATTCTCTTGCTCTCTTGCCAAGGTAGTGATAGCTGTTTGAAGACCTTGTCAAGGTGAAGACTAAAGGGCTCCTGCTGCTCTGGAACCCAGGCAGGCATCAGGAGATGGATCAGCATATACCCAGGGAAAGGCCCGAACAGGAAAAGCTCAAGTCCTGAGAAAATGTAGTGGCAGGCAGTGACACAGCATCTGCACAAGAACACTTAAGTCTACAGGAAAACCTGAAATTTTAGGCAGAACCTACATTACTCTAGAATACTTATTAAACACACCTGTGGTCCCAGACAAGAAAAATGCATTTGTAGGGCTATTCAAGATACTCACAATGGAACAGCTGGAGGACATGGAACTCCAGAGCTATATACTGTGCTTGCTTAAAACCAAACAGTTTTAAATACAATCTGGCCAGCAAATGTGGGATAGCCCAAATGAAGATCAAAAAGGAAAAACTTACAACTGTACCCACCTCTGTGGCTGTCTTTCCTTAAAGTCTCCTTTCTTTGCCAAAACAGAAAGAAAATTAATTCCCAAATTTTACTCAGTGTCCTAACTTCTACAGACCACCCACTCCCATCACTGTACATTCAAATGCATTGTGCTCATTCTTGGCCTGTAAATATAGACTAGAATATTGTGTTGTTTGTCCTATTTATTTAATGTCTTGGCTGAAGGGAGCAACTATCGTTAAAATAGAAAGGAATGCCCTGCTGTACTTTTCACCAAGCTCTCTGTAAATATCAGTTGGCTCTGACAAACTCCAAACAGAAGTGGTCCTACCTGTCTTCCAAACCATGGTGAAACTGAACCTAGACAGAGGAGACAGAAAGTAGGGACCAAGGAACTTTCGGAAAAGCAGGAAGAGGAAACACCACAAATGGATACACACTAGTGGTTCACTTTCCTTCAAGATTTTTTTTCTTAAAGTACTTAATAAAAAAATCCCCTAATGGCCAAAGATGCTGTTTGCCATAAAACAATTCCAGCTCAGCTCCAAGCAGGACTGCCACAAATGACCCTGAACAGCATAAAATCCTCATCACATTAATTCCTTGATGTATCTGGTGATTGTAAGTTGAGCACATATGGTAAATAATTTCAGGCAGCACTAGATCCACTCTGGCTCTTCTTTCCAAATGAGCAACACTCTTCTTGAAGACAAAGCTGTGAAAGGAAATTCACCTCCCAAGAAATTTGGTGACCTATCCACACAGGGATGGGTGGGGCTCCATTACTCTGGGAGTGAGCAATTGCTGGCATGACAGTCTCAAAGACTGGCACTCTCTCAATCTTTACCCACGAAAGAAGTGCAGGGAATGACAGTGTAAGCTTCCTGCATGCATCCCATCAAATGACTCAGAGCTCTGTCAGAAGGACCACTGGAGATGAAAGTAATTCACTTTCCATTGCTCATCCCTCTGGAGGGACAGAGCCCATTCCAAGCCAATATCCTGAACTGCAGTCAATTGATTTCAAACAGCCAAACCCCCTTTATTTAAGCCTAGTAAGAAACCACTAGATGGAAAGCATTTAAAAGCAGAATCGTAAGTATAATACATTAGGAAATAGGAAAAATAGCCAGAAAATGCAAAAGATCACTGGAGTAAGGAGACATTGTAATAAAGATACATCACCTGTGAAGTTTAACCACTCAAAACAATGCCAGGGTAAAACCTGTCCCCTCTGTCACAGTTTGTGAGTTAGCCAAGGTTAAGTTCTGCTCCTCACATTCATTCTCTTTTTTTAAGTAAGTTGTATTTTTCTGAGGGAAAATGAAAACTCAATTGTGCTCGTTTCTCCCAAGTGACTTTTTGAAACAGAAGGAAGAAGTCATGTCAAAATAAACAAATTCACCTGCCTGTAAATTTTTGGCATAGAGATTTTTTGATTGCTCAGTCTTGTGGCAGGCAAGCTGTAGTTTCTTTTGCTTATTTTGAAAGTTCCTCTCACAGGAAACCAAGACATAGTTTTTGTCATTATAAAGAGAAGTTTTTAAGTAATAGCACAGAGTTCTCTAAGCAAAAACAGTGCTACTATCAGCAGCCAGAGTATTGCAAGGAAGAAATCTAAGTTGTTTCTTAATCACTAGATTGTAAAAGACGTATTTTTTAAATGACACACATGAAAGGCCAACTGATCATCCCTGTGAAATCCTCTCTGACGACTCAAAGTTCTTCCACATGTTAAATGCAGGAGTGTCTGAGAGAGCAGCTAGTATTTCTGTTTAAAATTTAGAATGATAACACTTGTGGGTGAAGGCCAAGCTTGAGGATAAGACTGAGATTTGACTAATGGTTTGAATACAGCAGGCAACTGTCTCTTGCCCAGCTCTGCCAACTGAATCTCATCCTGACCTGCAGCACCCTCATCTAACCTGGAATATTTACACAGAGTGTGGAAACACTGTGGAGTGTCCTTATTCCACCTGCTGCTGTCCTGCTGTTGGCTTAGTCTCGGGGTTTTGCTGGTGCAATTTGACTCTGGCTACCTCAGACTGGCCATAGGCAACTTGTATAGGTCTGATAGGACCCTTAAATCTTCTCTTGCAATCCCATGTTTAATCTTGAAATAGATTCATATCAAGTAGAATTAGCACACCTTTTCTCCAGTTAGCAGAGATCAGGGTGACATCCTAACTCACTTATATTCTCTTATCCTGTTTACTCAAAAAAGAAGTAACTCTTTTTCCTAGACTTTTAAATTGAAATTTAAATTAATTTTCAACTGAAAAAATAAATTCTGCCTGATGCTTTCATGGAAAGGACTTCTGAAAAAAGCTTAAGTTTTATGTTTTTCTATTATATACCCAAGAAATCCAAGAAGTACTTCAGTATGTGTATTTTTAAAGATTAAAACTTCAAATTTCCAGTGAAAAGATACACACTTTCATTTTGTAGCAGAAGAGGCCCAAATATGCAATTCCACAAACCTAACTATTCTTTTTCCATCACCTCTGATAGTCATGGTATGTGTGCAAACAAGTAGACCTAAGCAAGTAATTCTGATAGTGCAGAAGCCCACTTCTCTCACCAGGAATTGCTCACCCAGCCCAACAGCTGAGCAACGTGATGGGCTCAGCTCAGGAACTTCTGGCATGATGTTCTGACAGACTCAGCTGAAGTGACTGGGAGCTGGATATTCCCCTCTGAGGCTGCCCTCCCTTGCTCTGCCAATGACTTGCATTTAGCTGCATCTCCAGGATACTAAAAGTCTGTGGAGCAACTTTGTCTACCTAACTGGGTCTGAGGAAAAATGAATCAATAGGGTCAATAAAACGTTCTACTTTTTAATCTGTATCTGACATAGCTTTTAAAGGTGCTTTGGAAACAGAACAAAATAATAGAAGATAAATGGATAAGGGCTTGTTGACTCACTAAACCATTTGATTGTTCCAAAGCTATGGAGACAAGAGGGAGGAGAGCAGCTT